CAAAGAATACCGTGGGCAAACAATGGGTAAATCCCAAACAAGAGTTTCTGTAGCAGTCAGGAAACAAGGATTTAAGTGATAAGATGTCCAAGGTCCCAGCCTGAGGTACTTTTTACATCAAGCTAGATATAAGGTGGGACAGCCTGGTTGTGAGGTGTCTGAGTGAGTGCTAAAGTAACTTCTAGAGGGAATGCCCTGGCGGTCCAGTGGTTAGGACTCCTCGCTCTCACTGCCGAGGGCCTGGGTTCAATCCCTGGTCGGGGACCTAAAATCCCACAAGCCTTGAGGTGTGGCCAAAAAAATTTTTCAAATAATAAATGAAGTAACTTCTAGAAAAGTTTGTGGCTCATAATTAGAAGCATAGCAGATTGGAACCATCTGAGCATCCCCTTTTCTTTTCACCTGGCACCTGATTGACCCACTTTCCCTGCATCCAACACATGCAGTGGTTGGAGAATTGAGCCAAGCAGATAGTGAGAGCCACTGCTCCAGTATTTGGAGTGAGCCAGCAGTGTCCCTCTGCCAGAGCTGGACAGTAGTTATCCTAGAGAGCTCTGAGCAGGTTCTCCCCTCCCAGCACCAACAGCAGCTCCTGTCCTACAGGTGCCTCCCTTCGTGGCTGAGGCAGTGGACCCCAGGAACAGGTGTCATGCATGAAAAGAAGTGGCTGGCCATGTTGGTATTGGCAGTGCAGCTTGAGAGCCTTATGCAGCATTTGGGAATGTTTTCAAGTTTTGGAAACAAAAATCTTCTAATTCTGTTTTCTCTGCTAGTCTTTGTTTTTTGGGGGTTTTTTAAAAACTTTTTTTAAATTTATTTTGGCTGCGTTGGGTCTTCATTGCTACATGTGGGCTTTCTCTAGTTGTGGCAAGTGGGCTTATTGCTGTGGCTTCTCTTGTTGCAGAGCACAGGCTCTAGGCGCACAGGCTTCAGTAGTTGCAGCACGCAGGCTCAGTAGTTGTGGCGCACGGGCTTAGTTGCTCTGTGGCATGTGGGATCTTCTCGGACCAGGGATCGAACCCGTGTCCCCTGCATTGGCAGGCGGATTCTTAACCACTGCACCACCAGGGAAGTCCCTGCAAGTCTTTGTTGATGTCTGTATGATAATCAGTTGCTTGAAATTAACTGAAATTGTTAGTTATTTGTTTTATGGCTTTTTTGGTTGTTTTGTTTTTTGATTTGCATTTTTTTGGGTGTCTTGATTTCTGAATAGCTTAGACTTGGACCTGTAACACCTCAGTAATCCTCAGCCTCTTTCATTGGTTTAAGGGGGTATGGGACAAGCATAGAAATTATTTGTGAAGTACTACAATACTCCCCAAATCCGGATGGAGAGGTGAACACACATCTCTGACCTCATCCTTGTTCTCACCTGTGGGCTATGCTTGCGTGTGTGTACTCTCTCTCTCCCGCTCAGGTTATTGTTGCTGTGAAGTCTGAGACACATAGACGAGGGTGCTTGAGATTGTTCATAGACTGGCTTCTTTACTATGATATCATAGTTTAGTTTTAATTTAAGGGGAAAGCAGGCCAGAATTATGGAAGTGTTTGAAAATGTGAAATTTTTAAATTTATTTTGAGTGTATAATCAGAAGGTGGCTTAGTGGAAGTTTTATATTCTCAAATGGAAGGCATTTGTGGGAGGTGTATCAGAATACCAGCGTACGTTTGCTGCTCTTGGCCATGTTACAGGTGCTGTTACACAGTCAGCCAGGCAGTAGCTACCCATCTGAGCAGACCTACACAAGGAAGTCATGGGGGAGAACCCTCTGGGCAGTCAGGGTAGCCCATGTGCTAGAGCAAAGGCCTTTATCGTTGATATGTTGTTTTTTAGGAATAATAGATATTCATGGTTTCCCTGCAAATCAAGCTGTAAACCATTGAAACAATTTCATTCATCCTCATCCCTCAGCCACCCAGTTTCTGGCCCATAGGCATCCAATTATACTAGTTTCTTATGGCGAGTCCCTCCAGAGACACTGCACATCATCATGAAGTTACATGCTCCTTTTTCCTCGTCTTTACACAAGTGCTTGCATACTACACACACTGTTCTGTATCTTGCTGTTTTCCACTTAGCCAAGTATCTTAAGGGACCTTCCATTTCATTCTTTGTAATGATCTCACTGATTGCCAGTTAGCTTGTTTTCGGGCATTTACTTCTACAAACAATGTGTAATTAACTTCCTTGTATATAGAAGCAAGGCCGGTTTGTTAGGCACAACTTGACTAAGCCTGATTTTTTTGACTTCCCAGCCCACAGCAAATTGGTTGGAAAAGGTACAGCTCCATCTAGGCATTGGGAGCTCGTTAAGAGGGAAATCACAAGTTACAGCTTATATCAAGCAAAGAAACAGAACAGTCACTTTAAAAACATACAAACAACAGCAAAAACTACAAAAAGCCTCCGCAACCATACATTATTTAACCCAGAGGTCAGCAATCCAGCCCCTCTGAAGGTGCCTAGGAGTTGTCATTTACTGGGTGATTATTGAGCACCAGTTGCATGCCACGCCCCGCCTGATGGACCTCAGTGGATAGAGAGTGGGGCTTATTGAAGCTCCAGCTGAAATTCAAGCTTGCCCTTTTTAAGGAGACAGAGTTTTGCAATATAGCCTTCGGAGAGAAAATTATTGAGATGGCCAAAGTGAATTTCAATTCATCTTGCTTTCAAGAGATAATCTTCCTAGGGCTCCAGTGGGCTGGCTTTTTATTTACTGTTTTTCTGACGTGACAGGATGTTTCTCCAACAAGAGGTTGATTTCTTAAGTAGGTTAACATTTCTTGCATTTATCGTGTTGAAGTCATATTTATACTGTCAGTTCTTTTAGCAAATTATTTTCACTTTTCAAAGATGGTCATAAGAGGAAAATTTTAGTATCTCAAATGCCAGTCTTTATTTAGGATGAGTGTTTTTTTGTTTTGTTTTGTTTTTTTAATGCGGTACACGGGCCTCTCATTGTTGTGGCCTCTCCCGTTGCGGAGCACAGGTTCTGGACGCACAGGCTCAGCGGCCATGGCTCACAGGCCTAGCCACTTCGGGGCATGTGGGATCTTCCCGGATCGGGGCACGAACCCGTATCCCTGAACCCATATCCCCTGCATCGGCAGGCGGACTCTCAACCACTGCGCCACCAGGGAAGCCCCAGGATGAGTGAATACTGATTGTACTGTTCTCCTGGCAGAAGTCAGTAATGCACTTAAAATGCTTCAACTAACAGATGGGCATGGATTTATTAGTGCTTCCTCCACAGATGTTCTCACCTTTCCACTTGAATCAGAGGTTCATGTGAGGGGGTTGAGGAAGAGGGAGTTAGGGATTCTTAGAGTCTCTTGTCCCATCTCAAGGGGCTCGATGAAAACCACCCAGTCTTTCTTATGCTAGGAACTTGGGCAGGTCTCAGCTTCTGACCTGAAGCTCGGAGAGGGAGGAGGCTTCTCCTGAGGACTGTGGGTCTTTAAGCTTCATCACTGATACTTGTGTCACCTTAGAGCTGCTATTTAATCTGAAAGTTTGACTTGCTTTTCAGGGTGTGTCTGGCTTTTCTTCTGACTGTGCTGGTGGTTTGTCCTTAGAAATGCTGTAAATGCACTTGCTAAATAATGTAGGGTCAAAATTTAATTCCATTTTTCCTCCTTGTAGATCAGACCCATTGGGTCTGTTGTGTCCAATTTCAAACCTCAAGATGAGTTGGTCACTAGAAGGGTACCTGCTTACTTCATCTCATTGGAGCCCTGTGCAATAAGACCAGCGTCTGAGTGCCCGTTCACTGTTTTATTCTCTCTAGTCTTGTTTACCCATAGATAACATGCCTAGTCCTAGTTTGCAGACTGATGTTCCAGAGATTGTGTTTGTGCAGACCCATCATCACAGCCATTAGCACAACCACTCAAAGCACAGGTGGCTGTTGCTGGGTTGGTAGCTCTATTTTTATGTGCAGAGGTTAGCACTTTTACTGTTATTAGTGAATATTCTCTAGCTTTCTCTAAAGGAAAGAATCCTAAGTTAGTGCGATAGCCTAGTTTCTATATCCTTGACTTGACCCACTTTTTCTGAAGGTTATGCTATGAAACCTCTGAGTATTGCATGGTAAAATATGTAAATCAACTCTTACCTTGCCAAGCCTATAAAATTCTCTCCATTATTACTGGTGTTCTGGAAACTGAATGTCATTTAGGGAAACCACAAAAGCCAGCTGGGGCAGATTTATGCAGGTTAGTATGGTAGGCCAGTTATTCCAGAGTTGATGGCTTTTTTCATTTTCATGTGTTTTGCATTGGTGGTAGGAATTAAAAATCGGAAGAGTATGTTCCCTTTCCTCTAATCTCAAGTAGAATCTTGTTTTTAAAAGCCTCCTTTTGTGACTACTGCCCTTGTTCCAATGTGTCACAAGTTTTGTGTGGTTTAGTAGCCCTGGGTACAATCATTTATGAACAAATAGAGGCTCCAAGGCTGCAGACATTTGTAGAAGCAGCAGATTTTTGAAGGTGTTGCCTTTCTTTAGCCCTCGTAGCATCCCACATTCTCAGTGGATTGACAGGTCATCATTCTGGCTCAGGCTCTTGATGGACAGTGATGCTGCTATGGTTGATAACGCTTCCAAGAGCCCTGATTCCCTGGGATCCACGTGGGGCCATTTGTACTATGTAGTGAGAATGGGAGCGCATCTATAGGTTTCCTCTGCCCTGAGCTAGTGGCAGAGTATGTGTGTTTCAGTGTGGAAGGCTGGTGAATAAGAGTGGAAATAACCTGCAGTGCAGTGATTTTATTTGGAGGATGCTGATTTTGGTGGTGGTTGTTTGACTTGTTTCAAGAAAACATACTTTTAGGCTCAAGAGTTTGGGGTGGTCAATAGCATGTTTTGGAAAAAGATGGAAGGCCTGTTTCAAAATCCAGTTAAACCAAACAGGTATTTGCATTCTGCTGGGGTGAGGTCTTTGATAGTTTTGGGCATAGGCAGTGCGGATCATACATATCCTTTCTCTCTGTTTTCTGCCAGTGCCTGGATCAAAGTGGAACAGCTCAAGCCGTATCATGCACATAAGGAGGAAATGATAAAGATTAACAAGGGAAAACGATTCCAGCAAGCTGTGGATGCCGTAGAAGAGTTCCTCAGGAGAGCCAAGGGAAAAGACCAGGTGAGAGGCTTCACGATTCTCACTTTATGCTGACTCCAGACTGGTTATTTTTGCATAGTAACTGACAGATTAAATATCGCCCGAACCCAAAACTATTCTTAATGCAATGCCAGTGGAGAGAGAGCTACTTCAAATCTAAGGTATCAGTGTTTTGCTAATCAACTTGAAACTCCATGCATGTGGCTGACCTTTCTGGAATAGATTGTTGCTCTTAGGAAAGTCTCTTGGACCCAGGAGAAGTATCTCAGCTTTTGAGTATAGCACAGGCCTTCTCCCTTTTATAGCATGGAGGTTAGGAGCACGGCCTCTGGGCTATATCCACTCCCTGGGTGTAAATCCAGTTTGGGGACTGTGGGCAAGTGACTTGAATTTCTTTTTCAATCCACTTCCCCAGATATAAGTGGAGTTGACAGCAGAGCCTACTTCATAGGGTTGTTGTGTGGATAACACACGTAAAGCACTTATCACAGGGTGTGGCTCCTGTAAATCATGGTAGTGATGGTGGTGGCTGTTGTGGTGGTTATCATTATTATTATTAAACTTTCAGACATCGTCCCACAGTTCTGCTGATGACAAGAATCGGCGTAATTCCAGTGAGGAGAGAAGTAGGCCAAACTCAGGTGATGAGAAGCGCAAGCTTAGCCTGTCTGAAGGGAAGGTGAAGAAGAACATGGGAGAAGGAAAGAAGAGGGTGTCTTCAGGCTCCTCAGAGAGAGGCTCCAAGTCCCCTCTGAAAAGAGCCCAAGAGCAAAGTCCCCGGAAGCGGGGTCGGCCCCCAAAGGATGAGAAGGTTTGTTTTATCTCTGTAGCTTCTGGGATTAGTGACTTTCTTTTGTATACCGGAGAGCTGAGCTCTACGGTATGCTTCAGCTCCGTGAATGGACGTAGAGTCCTCTGCTATGTGCTGCCCTAAAGAATTCTGCAGACCAGGGGAGGGTCACGGCCTGGATGCACGGGTGGACCAGATGGTCGAGGGAGGAGAAGGGTCCACCTGAGCCAGCGTGCAAGGGCTGGCACTGGAAAGGGCTGAGCAGGAAAGAAGGGAAGGCCTTCCATACACGAAGGGCACAGCCCACGTGGGCTCGATGTTAGCATGCAGAGTCTCAGTACTGGTAGAGGACAGGAAGGAGACCTGACAGGTAAAGACAGGTTGTCACCCGATTGTGGAGAGCCTTGAGGTCTAAGCAGTGTTATACTGTCATGGAGTCAGTAGGGGGCCGTGAACACGGTGTTTGAGCTGGATGTGGAGGTGGCAGTGTGCTCCCAGCTGTGTGTTAGGGATCATGGCGGGCAGAGAAGAAAGGCTCAAAGCCAATGAGAAGGGTAACTTCAGGTGTGCGTTCATAAGGAGCTTTCCTTGGCGGGGGTGGGCGGTGGGTGGGATAGCAAATATTGAAAGGAACTGTGTGAGAGGCACTTCAGAGGAAGAGTTCATAAGATTTGGTAACTGGTTACATATAGGGGATGATGGAAAAAAGGGAAGGGAGATGATTTCAAGTCTGTGCTTGGGGAAATGATGATGCCTTTTTTCTGAGCAGGGGAGTAAGGAGAGGAGCTGGTTTATGGGGCAAGAGGACCAGTTCTGTTTTGAGTGTGATGCATTTGGAGTGATGTCTAGACTGCCAGGGAGGCTTCCAATAACATAGGATGGAAATGTAGGTGTGGAGGAGCGAATATCTAGAGAGGACGTTGGATCCATGAGACCAGATGGGGATTGTCTTAGGGGGAAGCAAGGAGAGAGAAGAATGAAGGACAGAAATTGGCTTTGCAGAGAGGATGCACATAGCTCAGGGTTGGAAGAAGTGGGCAGAGCCGGCAAAGTAAAGTAAAGCAGAAATAATATACCTCTCACCTTCTTCCCAAAAAGATTTGTATGAGTCTTAGAAGCCAAGGGAGGAGAATTTGAGGTGAAGGGGGTAGTCTGTCAAAACACAGGGGAAGATTGTTAGAGCAGGATCAAGGGGTTAGAAGCCAGATGGCTGGCACAGACAGACGGGTTATGAGGCCGTGATGAAACGCTGAACGTGAGATCAAAACTTGCAAGTTCAGACACCAGTGAGACCAGGCAGGGAAGGGAGAGAGTGCTCAAGCAGGAGGTTGGGCCGAGAGCATTAGGGGTGGCAGTGGCTGCTGTCTGGGGAGGCCAAGGCCCCCCCTCAGGGTTACAGCCAACTTTTGCCAAATCGTCTGGTTTTTCTCAAGAGAAGCTGGAAATACAGATTTTTTTTTTTTTAAGTGAAATGTTCCAGTTTTAAATGTTAGAAGCTAACTCAAATTTTTAAAACACTTTTAGGTCCAAAGGAACATCTCTCTGGACTAGATTCAGCCTGTCAGCTGCCACTGTGCCATCTCTGCATTAGAGAAGGTCCTTCTCGCTGTTAGATGACCTAAGACAGAGAGTAGATGAGAGCAGCTGTAGCGGTGGGGACAGCCAAGGTGACCATGAGTGCAGGGAACCTCCAGCCAAAGGTGGAAAAAGTTTAGAAATTGCCAGGAGCAGTGCATGAACTTTTGAGGGGGTATGATCTGATTTGATCCAATTAAATTGATTTCCTGGGGACCCACAGAAATCTGGGCTGTCAGGTTTTATACTGTTCTCCAAATTCATGCTGTCTGGTATCTTAAGCCATGGATCTCACCAACTCCTGTGCTCGCCCTGGAGAGAAACTTCTTTTTGGATAAAGGGAGGTATAAAGGAGAGGTTAGGAGGAGGACCTAGAGTTTGAATCATGACTCCGTGACTTGTTACAGCTGTGCAACCTTGGCCAACTGCCTTTGCCTCAGTTTCCTTGTCTGCTTATTGAAAATAATAAAGCCTCTTAGGTTTAAGAATTAAATGAGTAACAGAAGCCAAGTACTTAGCGCCTGTGACACTATACATTCGATGAACATTGTACATCTATTTATTTATTATTTTTTAGCAGTAGCCTGTTGTGCAGTGAGAGTGTGGTTGTTTTAGTGCAACCCCAGGGGCTGCTGCCAGGCTTACTCCTCACAAAAGAGTGTGTGTTGCTATAGTAATTGTTATTTGGCTGGCGAGCTCCTCTCTGAAACAGCACAGTAGCCTAGCTGATAACTGGGCAGAGCCCCAGATGATTGCCATTCTGGCCCATAATTCTCTGTCCCATTAGGATTAACTGAAAAGCCTGACCTTGATGGCAGGGGTGTCGATTATGTGTGGGAAGGCGAAGGCTGTGTTTGTGTCTAGACTCTGTGTGGGAGCCATGTGAGGGGTGCACATTCACCCTCTCTCGGGGGCTCTTATTTCTGAGTCCTGAGCTGAGAACTGCAACTCCGGGCACAAACCATCCGGACAGGACAGAACTGTCCGTGGTTCTCCTAAAATCCAGACTTGTGCAGAGAGCAAGGAGTCAGGAGTTGAGGCCTTTGGTCAGTGCTGGACAGAGAGCTGTGTTCTCGCCTTACTCCCTTCTGTTGTGGCCTTAGACAAGTCACTAGGCTGGTGACCATTTACATTTAAATTAATTTACATTAAACCCAAATTAAAATCCAGTTTCTTAGTCACACTAGCAGGTGCTCCATAGTGACATGTGACTTGTGGCTACTGCACTAGATACAGCGGAGTCAGAACATGTCCATCATGACAGGAACTTCTCTGGGACAGTACTGCGCTGGGCCTCTTTTTTTTTTTTGTTTTTTGTTTTTTTGAGCGTCTCCACTGCAGGCCAGGTGTCAAGGGATAAAGCTCTACAGCTGATCTGCTCTTGCCCCTCCACCACAGATTTGACCTCATGTCCATCTCCCCATTTGCTGTCTTCCAGCCTCGGTGGCCCTCCTTGCATTTTCCCCTCGGCTGTCTAGTGGAGATCTCAACATGCCCCACTGAACTCTTGACTCCCCCACCCAAATAGTTCCTACCTTCTGTCTGGGGAGAGAGCAGGCTCCTGGCTCCTCAACATCCCGGTTCTAATTCTGGCTTTGTCACTTAGCAGCTGTAAAAAGTTGGGCAGATCTCCTCACTGCTCCATGTGGCTTTCTTAGTCTTTTTTGAGATATGGTGGATTCCTTCTGAAGCCAGTATTGTTATCTTAATGTTCATTATTTGCCATAAGGAATTTTCTCTGTGACCTGCTGACCACACTACAGACCACAATCGGGCTTTCCCGTTACCTCCATCCTTATGAAATTTTGGCACAGGAACACATTTGTTACTTCTAGAACAGAGAAGAAGAAAGGCTCCCTCTGTGTTGACAGGAACTTGACCTGTTTCTCCCGATGAACAGTCATCAGAGCCATGCCTGGGGGGAGACCGCGGAGCTGGCAGGGCTAGTTCGGGGTGGAGTGTGACTAAAGGGAGCAAAACAGTGAAGCGGTGCTCCCAGAGTTAGGCAGGAAGACACCTGCTCCTGAGGTGCCACGGCATTTTGACGATCTGCCTTTCCCTCTGTAGGACCTCACCATCCCCGAGTCTAGTACTGTGAAGGGGATGATGGCCGGACCCATGGCTGCGTTTAAATGGCAACCAACCGTGAGCGAGGTAATAACCTCTCCCGTGGACCAGGAGAAGCCCGGCCTCAGAGCTGGTTTCCTGGCCTGACTGTGTGATGTGCTCTTCCTTTCCCCCACTTTTCTTGTGTATGAGACTTTTTTTTTTCTAATTGCCAAACAGTACAGAAGTGAATGAGTTAAAAAGCACAGGTCTCCACCCTGGGGCATCCTGACTGTTAAGCTTGATGTAACTCACTCCAAACCCTTTGGTGCACCCACTTAACCATCATTTACATAATCACATACCCATGTTACAGTTTTTACTTTCGGGAGTAGTGTTGGTTTTCACAAAAGTGGGATCATTCTGCAGATTTTTTCCACTTGGTACTTTATAAGCACCCTTTCACTGTATATACAGCTTTGATGTTTGGTAGCTGCACACTACCTTATCCTTGGGGTGGATGCACCGTCCCGCTGTTGCTGGGCCTACTTAGGAAAAGCCTTGACGGTCCTGCAGTTATTGCCTCCTCATTTCTTTTAATACTGATCCTCAGTGAGTCAAGACACTCAAGGGTCTGGCACCAGGCACAAGTGGGCCAAAATCCTAAGATCAGAAAAGTTTGAGAATTTGGTTTGGTCTGCTGGGTCATCCGAAGTGACTGGTGAATGCTGGATTTAAAAAATAGTATGCTTTTAAAATATTATTCCAGTGTTTGGGAATAATTTATCCACCAACCTGGCAGAAACGTTCATTCTTTTCCACTTGAAACCAGTTTTCCTCCAGGTAGAATGGGCATCGTTTATGAAAGGCTTAGACCAGCAGTGGGAGAAGAGTTTCCAGGCAGTTGTGAGAATGAGCCCAGCTCCCAGAGGTGTTTCAGCCAGAGGAGAAGCTGGTTCTCAGGTAGAAGGAGGTGACCTGTGTTGGAAGATAACTTGTTTTATTAAATCATTTTCTGGTTTCAGCCTGTTAAAGATGCAGACCCTCATTTCCATCACTTCCTGCTCAGCCAAACCGAGAAGGTAAGTTGTTCTTTGAGGTTCTTCATCCTTGGTCAGGAGCTGGCCTGAGGGGAGAGTCCTGCTCCTTTGGAACCTCACCCTAGTCTGAAAAGTTAGTCTGTACCTGTACTGCTGCCCAGAGCAACTAGTTAAGTTTAAAAGTTACATAGAGGACCACTCGTGAATCAGGCACTGTTAAGATTAAAAATGGGGCTTCCCTGGTGGCGCAGTGGTTGAGAGTCTGCCTGCCGATGCAGGGGACACGGGTTCGTGCCCCAGTCCGGGAAGATCCCACATGCCGCGGAGCGGCTGGGCCCGTGAGCCATGGCTGCTGAGCCTGCGCGTCCGGAGCCTGTGCTCCACAACGAGAGAGGCCACAACAGTGAGAGGCCTGTGTATCGCAAAAAAAAAAATACTAAAAATGAACCCAAAAAAGCTTTTAAAACTTAGTGGCTGTGTGGTTGAGATATTTGCAGTTGCCTTCAGAGTCTAGGATGGAATTGAAACTTCAGGAGCTGTCGACCACCCACAAGGTAGCCAGTGCTGCTGGATGAAGGCAGTCTCCATGAGCCCTGGGAGTGTGGGGGTAGTTTCCCCAAGTGTCTACAGGGCTGTCGGTTAGGCTGAGCCCTGATAGGATCTGCTGATGGTATGTGACCTTGGAGTTGGACAGATCTGTATTCCAAGCCTAGTTATACTGACCAGGTCTGTAATTCTGGGCACATGACCTAACACCTCTGATTTTCAACGTCATGATCAGCAAAAGCATCTTGTAGAGCTGCGTGAGAGCTGAATGAAGTGACGCAAGTTAACTTTTCATGTGTGGTTTGGAATTCAGTAAGGTTGGACACCAAATAAGTTTTTGATGTTAACTTCCCGCTTTGGGCCTAACCTTAATAGGGAAATCGTAATGAAGACTGGTTAAATGTTCAGTTTAATAAGTGGTTTTCTCATTTCTTCTTTATTAGCCAGCTGTCTGTTACCAGGCAATCACAAAGAAATTGAAAATATGTGAAGAGGTATGTATGTTCCATGCCTCCTCATTTTTATTTTCATTGGGGCCTCACATGGGCAGGCTGACCTGACGACTTGTGCTTCCTTTCCCTAGGAGACTGGGTCCACCTCCATCCAGGCAGCAGACAGCACGGCTGTGAATGGCAGCATCACACCCACAGACAAAAAGTAGGACCTTTGATGAAGAGGCTTCCTGTGCCTCTGGTTCTGCTGGGGCCAGAGGGTGACCTCAAGGTGGCTTGTTAAGGGTTGTGTCCCAACCGTTGCTGGGACTAAATGGAAAGAGAAAGGGAAAGTTGTAATTCTTACGACTTGCCTAGGAGTAATTTGACTTGTGGGAGACAGAAGCTGCCCTATAAATGTACTGTGGATTTGGCTTCGTGCTCACCGGTGAGTCTCCAAGCAGGGAACACTTGGATCAGTGGTTCTTAGACTTTCCTGTGTCTCAGAATCACCTTGGGGAATTCCCTGGTGGTCCAGTGGTTAGGACTCCGAGCTCTCACTGTCAGGGACCCAGGTTTGATCCCTAGTCGGGCAAGTAAGATCCCACAAGCCTTGCAGCGTGGCCAAAAAAATAAATAAATAAAACAGCTAACTTAAAAAAAAAAAAAGAATCACCTGGAAGGCCTCTCGTAAAGCACCGATTGCTTGACTCCACCCGTAGGGTTTCTTGATCAGTAGGTCTGGGGTGGACAAATTCCCAGATAGCTGCTGGTGCTCATCAGGAGACCATGCTTTAAGAACCACTGTCCTTGGCCCTGGTGGGGGCAAAAGATGAAGGCAGCCCGTTGTCCTGCCTTCCCTGGCTCTCCCTGCTGTCGCCTCCCTGTCCTTCCTGTGCACCTGCCTGCTGCTCTCCGCCCCACCCAGACAGGTGGGGGACTTGACTGTGGTCCCCAGGCCTTAGCTTGCATCCACACTTGCCTTTGCCTCAATTCTGACAGCTAGTTGTATTGTTGGAAAGGGTTCTTGAAGAAGGAGCATTCTCTTGAAGTACGTAGCTAAGTCTGAATCTCCCATCTGAGTCTTCTATAGGGTTCTTTCTCAGACTAAAAACAGTGTCTTTTACATTATTCATCACTTTTTGTACTGTTAAAGTCACTTGTTCTGTCAGTTATATTTAGTGAACTTCCTTAGTGGAGTGAAGGAGCTAGAGGCATGTTATATGCTAATAAAAAGAGTAATGAGTATTGCCCATTAAACTAATGAGGATTTTGTTGGCTTTTTTAAAAAATCCAGCTCTAGGCCAAGGACAGAGTCCAGTGTTTTCTCCCATCAGTCAAACCCTTTTTTAACATGAGTGTAAAGCCAACTACAGAGCAGACCAGCTGCCTCGTACCCAGTCCACCTGGTCCACATTTTCCATCTTGCCTCAGGGACACCATGAGGGACTGTCAGTTGCTGTGTTTAAAATGCATAAACTTTATCCCCAGGTCTTCTAGGTGTCCTGAAACACCAAGAAAAGGAAAGAATTAGTATGTCATGATTTAGAATCATAGGGAAAACTTGTACTACCCAGATAGCTGTGAATGACAAAAGATACCTCCTTGTTTTTAAGCTTTGGCTTGAAACTTAATGGTCAAGGGTGCCATTTGGTGAGGAAGGTGGTGGTGGGTTCCATTTTCAGCATTTGATTCAAATGACTTAGAGCAGGCTGGGACAGAGAGTATGAGAGTGCATATTCCAGCAATGATAGTGGAACCTCTGAGCCAGTTTGAAAAGGTGGCTGCAGATAGACTTGCAGGAGACTGAAAATACTGAAAGGATAACACAGGTCAAAGTGAAGAAGCTGCAGAGGATCTTAGAGCTGAGAGAAACACAAGCTGAAAACAAGAACATGAGGTAATAAATGAAGAAAGAGGACTTCCCTGGTGGCGCAGCGGTTAAGAATCCGCCTGCCAATGCAGGGGACACGGGTTCAAGCCCTGGTCCGGGGAGATCCTACATGCCGTGGAGCAACTGAGCCCGTGCGCCTTAGAGCCCGCGAGCCACAACTACTGAGCCCACGTGCCACAACTACTGAAGCCTGCGCCCTCTAGGGCCCACGTGCTGCAACTACTGAGCCCATGTGCGGCAACTACTGAAGCCCACGCACCTAGAGCCCATGCTCCACAACAAGAGAAGCCACCGCAGTGAGAAGCCCGCGCTGCAACAAAGAGTAGCCCTGGCTCAAAGCAACTAGAGAAAGCCCACGTGCAGCAACGAAGTCCCAACGCAGCCAAAAAATTAATTAAATGAAGAAAGAGGCATTGTTTAGCCATGTCTCATGCAAGGAGAGTTACAGAAGTGCAAGAACCAAGAAGAGACATTTGGGCAAGGTAAAATCATCTATAAAAGCATGTAGCAGCTTGTAGCTCCCAAGTTCTAGGGGTTGTAGGAAGGAGCAAGCTGTAGGAAGTGAAGGTAAGCCAAACATACTGTCCACCTGAGTACTTCAGATTCAGAAGGATCATACTGGGCCTGCAGTTAGAAGGCGTGGTGGAGAGAAGGACAGGCCAGGGTAGAGAAGCAACGGGAGGAAAGAGGTTCAGGAGAAGAATCCATGCACTGGGAAAGAAAGATTGGTTCCAAAGCTCAGGTGAGGCTTTGAAGAAGCGAGGCAAGGCCTGTCCCTGCTGACGGCACGAAGAGTGCAAAGGTGGTGCAGGGCGTGGAGCTGGGAAGGGGAGGTGAGCACCAGGATGCTGACTCCTGCAGTTGAGGAAGGTGGCTGGCTCCGTACTTACTTCTCCTGTTAACTTGTCATGGATCCCAAGGTGCTTTAAATTGGCATCTCAAGACCTATGACTCGAGGTGGCTGATCAGGAACTGTTGCAGGATCTGAAGATAAATGTCTGCCTTCTCACTGTAATGGAATTGTAAGCTCAGACCTTCTATCAAAGCAACAAGGAAATGATTTGGAAGATTTGCCATAAACCATATGAGTCATACTTCTTGCAGTGGCAGTTGAGGATTTTAAAATGCCTGTTTAAACTTATGAACACTTTTGAACAGTGGCATGATAAGAAAAGGCACGCTTTGCCTGCACTACCGCTGGCTCTGCAGTGGTGGTGTCAGCACACCACAGAGCAGCGTTCCTGGTGGTCTTAGGTGAGGCTCCCCAGGTTTATGAGGAAGCAGAGCCTGTGTGGCATTCAGGATCTCACCCTGTCCTCCCCCACCCCACCCCCCACCTTGAACTGATCAGTCTCTCTCTTTTTCAGGATAGGATTTTTGGGCCTTGGCCTCATGGGAAGTGGCATCGTCTCCAACTTGCTAAAAATGGGTCACACGGTGACTGTCTGGAACCGGACTGCAGAGAAAGTAAGCATTCATAGTGGTGCTTGTTGGGTGGGGTGGGACAGAGCCTTGACCCTTGGGGTAACTAAGGATAGGACTCTCCCTCCTGTCTCTCTTCATCGTTCTGCATGCCATGGAGTAGAAGCCAAGCTCTTAGTTCAGGCAGGTGGGGGTGTAGATACACCAGTGTAGGACGTTATCATAAAAACTGAACATTTAAAACACCCAGGGGTATAAAATGAAGTGGAAATTTTCCCTCTCTGCCATTACCTGAAATAAGTAATAGGAAAAAAACCTGTCAGGTTTTTCCATGCACATGCAAGAGTTTGTGTGTGTGTGTGTGTGTGTGTGCGTGTGTGTGTGTGTGTGTGTGTGTAATCATTGATATGGAGAGTGTGTATCAACAGATCTGCTTCGTCCTTGTTAATGGCTGCACTATGTTCTGTGTTTGGATTGTATTAACAGCACCGTGCCGTAGAACATTCTGTGGTGAAAGAGATGTCCTATATCTGCACTGGCCTGTGTGGTAGCCACTGGCCACATGTGACTCTTGAACACTTGATTCATGGCTAGTAGACTGAAGAATTTTAAATTTTGTTTCACTTAAAAATAAACAGTCTCCTGTGGCTAGTGGCTACCATATGGGACAGGACAGGTTTAGAAGTTCTTAACCTCAGGTGGTCCATGGATTCAAGGGGTCTGTGCATGCCCTGAAATGGAATTCCAAGTCTTTTGTAATGGAGAGAGGCCAGGCTCCCATCAAGTTCCCATCCAGGAAAAGGTAAAGAACCATAGCCTAGGACTTACCTGGTGGCGCAGTGGTTAAGAAACCACCTGCCAACACAAGGGACCTAGGTTCAATCCCTGGTCCGGGAAGATCCCACATGCTGCGGAACAACTAAGCCCATGCGCCACAACTACTGAGCCTGTGCTCTGGAGCCCACGAGCCACAACTACCGAAGCCTGTGTGCCTGGAGCCCGTGCTCTGCAACAAGGGAAGCTACCACAATGAGAAGCCCGTGCACCACAACGAAGAGTAGCCCCCACTGGACGCAACTAGAGAAAGCCCATGCGCAGCAATGAAGACCCAACACAGCCAAATAAAATAATTAATAAATAAATAAATAAAATTAAAGAAATAAAGAACCATAGTCTAAGTACCAGAAAATTAAAGCAGTGTATTTGCCAGGAACGAAGAGACCAAGAAAGAACCAGCCTCTTGAGGAACAAGGTGTGGCTAAGCATATATTTGTGAAATGATGGGGTGAGCATCCCATGTGTGTAGCAAGGTGAGAGCTGGAATGAAGGGAGGTAGTAGAGCTGGTGGATTTGAATAAACAAAAATGTTCTAGGCAAAGTAAGAAGTTCACTTTGTTAAAACCGCCCTTTTCAAGAATAATAAGGAACTGGTTGGAGAGTTGAGGGAGCCTGGGAGAAAGGGCACTGAAAGCCATGCTAAGAGATGTGGGCTTCAGGTGCTGGGCATTGGGTAGGTGCTGTGGGGCCCTGAGTCAGGAGTGAGATCTCAGAGGCCCTTTCAGCAGATATTTCTGATTCAAGGCCAGGGTAACCAGGAAATCTAGACATGCATACTTGCAGAACATCGGTAGAATCTAAGGGTTTGCATTATAAGTATGTTCCCATTTGATAGAAGTGCCTCGGGTCATCCTGTTTTCTTGATTGGAAAGCTTAATTGTTATAAACGTGGCCATTCTTTCCAGATTAATTTATGGGAAGACAGTAGAGCAAAGCAATTATGAACTTGGGCTTGGAATCAGACAGCTCTGCTGCTTACCCTCATTTCTTTCAAAAGGAAAAACCAGAAGAAAACAAAATTATTAACATAGATCTTTTTAAGTCTGTCTTTTTAAGGAAAAAGTGAATTTTTTTTTAATAAATTTATTTTTTTTTATTTTTGGCTGCGTTGGGTTTTCATTGCTGCACACAGGCTTTCTTTTAGTTGCAGTGAGCGGGGGCTACTCTTCATTGCAGTGCGCAGACTTCTCTTTGCAGTGGCTTCTCTTGTTACGGAGCACAGGCTCTAGGTGCACAGGCTTCAGTAGTTGTGGCTCACGTGCTCTAGAGCTCAGGCTCAGTAGTTGTGGTGCATGGGCTTAGTTGCTCCGTGGTATGGAGGATCTTCCCGGACCAGGGCTCAGACCCATGTCCCCTGCATTGGCGGGCAGATTCTTTTTATTATTTATTTATTTATTTATTTTTGGCTGAGTTGGGTCTTTGTTACTACATGCAGGCTTTCTCTAGTTATGGCGAACAGGGGCTACTCTTCGTTGTGGTGCGCGGGCTTCTCATTGCGGTGGCTTCTCTTGTTGCGGAGCATGGGCTCTAGGCATGCGGGCTTCAGTAGTTGTGGCTCACAGGCTCTAGAGCGTAGGCGCAGTAGTTGTGGTGAACAGGCTTAGTTGCTCTGTGGCATGTGGGATCTTCCCCGACCAGGGCTTGAACCGCTGTCTCCTACATTGGCAGGTGGATTCTTAACCACTGCACCACCAGGGAAACCCAAGATGAATATTTTTTTTAATTAGTTTTTATTGGAGTATAGTTGTTTTACAATGTTGTATTAGTTTCTGCTGTACAGCAAAGTGAATCAGCTGTACCTATACATATATCCTCTCTTTTCGGATTTCTTTCCCATTTAGGTCACCACAGAGCATTGAGTATAGTTCCCTGTGCTATACAGTAGGTTCTCATTAGCTGTTTGTTTTATACATAGTAGTGTATATATGTTAGTCCCATTCTCCCAATTCATCCCAGCCACCCCATGAATAGTTTTTGATAATACTCCTCACAACAAAAAATAAACGAAAAAAAATTGAAAAGTATGCCAACTCGTTTTTTTTTTGGAATTTAAAAATTTTGTATTTCTAAAAATTTCCCACTACCCTAACAATTTTTATGTATTTTTCCCTAGTTTTTGTGGGGGGTTTTGGGGGTTTTGTTTGTTTGGTTTTGGTTCTTTTGAAGTATAGTTGATTTACATTGGTAGATTACTTTCAGGTGTACAGCATAGTGATTCAGTATTTTTATGGGTTATATTTCATTTAAAGTTATTATAAAATGATGGCTATATTTTTCTATGCTGCACAATATATCCTTGTAGCTTATTTAGTTTATATATAGCAGTTTGTACTGTCCCCTACTCCTATTTTGCCCCTCTCCGATTCCCTCTCCTCACTGGTAACCACTAATTTGTTCTATGAGTCTGTTTCTTTTATTTATATTCATTTATTTGTTTGTTTTTTAGGTTCCATATATAAGTGATAGTGTAGCGTATTTGTCTTTCTCTGTCTGACTTATTTCACTAAGCATAATAATACCCTCTAGGTCCATCCATGTTGTTACAAATGGCAGAATTTCATTCTTTTTATGACTGAGTAATATTCTTCCGTGTGTGTGTCTGTGTGTGTACCACATCTTCTTTATTCATTCATCTGTTGATGGACACTTAGGTTGCTTCCATATTTTGGCTATTGTAATGCTGCTATGAACATTTGGGGTGTGTGTATCTTTTCAAATTAGTGTTTTTGTTTTCTTTAGGTATAAAACCAGGAGTGGAATTTCTTGTTAAACAAATAGTATAGTAATGATTTAAAGATTTTTAAATAGCTCACAAAGAGGAAACAATAAACAGAGGTATTAAAGAGATTCAGTAATCAGGAGTAATCAGAATATATCAAGCAGAAAGTGGCCATTTTTGGCTTGTTAAATCATCTAGTAGGACAAGTTTTTAATGTATTTATGTGTACTTATTTGTTGTTTTTAAAAAATGTGCTCTGTGTTGGTGATTTGAGACTTTGCCAGAGATCATTATAAATGGACACAGCCTTATTCGAAAGCCATTTGTCTACATTTTTTAAAACCATTTTTGGAGCCTGTTATATTCTACTTACAGAGATCTAAATTCAAAAAATAGAAGAGATGGATATTTGTTGGACTCATTTATAATTAAAATCAGGCCAGATATTGAACTGCAGGAGAGCCATTAGGTAAACTCAGGTATATATCTCAGTGGAGTATCCTGCAGCCATGCATTATAAACAGTAATTATGAAAGTCTATAATATTGATAGATGTAATCATATAAAATGTTAAAAATTAGATGCAAAATAATAGGTCCAAATTATTCTAAATACTTTTTTGAAATGCCTTTAGAAAAAGGAAATACAGGGCTTCTCTGGTGGTGCAGTGGTTGAGAGTCTGCCTGCCGATGCAGGGGACACGGGTTCGTGCCCTGCTCCGGGAGGATCTCATATGCCGCAGAGCGGCTGGGCCCGTGAGCCATGGCCGCTGAGCCTGTGCGTCCAGAGCCTGTGCTCCGCAACGGGAGAGGCCACAACAGTGAGAGGCCCGTGTACCGCAAAAAAAAAAGAAAAGAAAAGAAAGAAAAAGGAAATACAGCAAAATGTTAATGATGTATTTTGTTATGAGATGTTCTAGTGATTTTAATTTTCAGAAAAGAAAAATTAGTGCTTGTAGACCCCCCCGCCAGAAACAATTCAGTACGGAATGGCAACCTGTTAGCCCAAGCCCTGCTTCCCCAGCTCACAGGGCACTGGGTAGATTTCACCACAGCCAAGACAGCGACAGCCACAAAGAGCGGCAGACAAGTACTATTCACATCCTGTTCTTCATTCAGAAAACCTTCAGCAGACGTTTGTTTTGTGCCTCCTGTGAAGTAGAACATGGAACATCCTCCTAGGCAAGACTGGGGACTTCCCTGGCAGTCCAGTGGTTAAGACTCTGCGCTTCCACTGTAGGGGCGTGGGTTCAATCGCTGGTCAGGGAACTAAGGTCTCACATGAGTGTGGCCAAAAAAAAAAAAAACCACAAGACTGTGCTTAAGGGGCTTCCGTCCACTTCCCTGAGCAGTCAGACTGCCCGCTGGGGTCCCTGGCTCACAGTCTCAGCCTCTTGCCTTGGAAGGCCACTCCGGAGGACTGAGCACTGCATCTCTGGCCTGGCTGGTGTGTGTGTTGTGCACTGCCTGCAGCTCACATTAGGATCTGTGACTTTTGCAGTGTGATTTGTTCATCCAGGAGGGGGCCCGCCTAGGAAGAACCCCCGCTGAAGTCGTTTCAACTTGTGACATCACGTTTGCCTGCGTGTCGGATCCAAAGGCAGCCAAGGACGTAAGGATCCCCTCCCTCCCCTCAGCGTCTCAGGTTGTGGCCGGGAAAACTGGCTGGCCTCCTCCCCTTCTCCCCTGAGCACTGAGTGAGTGTTTGCATTGGGGGAGGGGTGGGGCGGTGGATTTCCCATTTGGGGGCCATCTCCCATTGTGAAGGGTGTTTGCATAGATTGAATACAGACTTCCTTTAATTCAGAACAAAGAATGAAACTGATGAGGGTCCCTGAGGTCTGTGCTGAAATGTGAAATGGTTCCTGACAGGCTAATGTATTCCTGTTGAGCTGGAAGCTTTGGTGTGCCTGTGGTCCATGTGACAAGTTCCTATGTTTAGCTATCGCTGTATTTGTATGCTTTAAAAGTTCAAGTGCAGTAGTCATCTTGTTAAACTCATGACTGGACTAATCCAAGTAAATCCAAAGAAGCCAAAAAAAATAAATAGTGAGGTTCCATCTTTTCAATGGGAGGTTTTTAATAAAAAGAAACACACATGTTCTTTTTGAAGATAAATGGGAGCATACCATAAATTCTCCTCTTTCCCTTGCTTATTTACATGCTCTTCCCTTTTGAGCCTTAATATTTAGCTTCTATTTGGGAAATGAGCCAAAAAATCAGCAGGACGCTGACCTTAGGTCTAAGGGGCTCCTGGGTGTCTGGCTGGGAGCCTGGGCTATTGCTTCTCCCTTGTGTCCCCACAGCTGGTGCTGGGCCCCAGTGGTGTGCTGCAAGGGATCCGCCCCGGGAAGTGCTACGTGGACATGTCAACGGTGGATGCTGACACAGTCACCGAGCTGGCCCAGGTAGCGGCCTCATTCGGGCTGGCCCTCCAGCATCCTTTCAGTTGGAGCCCAAGACCCAGGCTAACCATGCCGAAGAGTGGGCAACTTAGTTACTCTAGAGCCAAAGCCAGAGACTTTGGGACTAGCCTGTCTTCACTCTCTGCCTTCAGATCTACAGCTAGTCTGAGTGGCTGTGAAAGGAGACTTGTTTCCTGGCTGGGATGGGCATTGGGTCCTATAGCTGCCAGCCTCTCAGAAGCAAATCTAGGCTGCCAGCAGGGCCTTTTTGAGTTAAGCAGCTTTCTACAGATACTAGCAGAGTATTCCACCACGCTGAGCCACTGGGCCCAAGTGAGGGGGTGGTGATTTGTGGCCCATGTGCATTCTACGGGTGGCTAAAATCAAGGTAGGACAGTGTCTTTAGGAAGTGTGGTCAACCACGCCATTGGCATTGTCATGTTGGTTATAGTCTTTGGTCTTTGTGAGAAATTCCGAGTAAATGGGAGCCTATGAGGACACCCCAGCTTCTCTCTGTCTACTGCATGTGATTCAGGCACCTGGTGGAGGACAGTCTGCTGACCCTCCCATTGTCAGTCCAGCACCTTGGTACGGGCATCAGCTTTGGGGCCTCGGCGTGGAGGGTCAAGTGCTCCTGCCCCAGTATGCTCCTTGCTTCCTGCCCAAGACCTTCATGAGAGGCAAGGCCTCCAGAAGCTGTGACTTTCCTTTCCAGGTGATTGTGTCCAGGGGGGGCCGCTTTCTGGAAGCCCCGGTCTCAGGGAATCAGCAGCTATCTAATGATGGGATGTTGGTGATCTTAGCGGCCGGAGACAGGGGCTTATATGAGGACTGCAGCAGCTGCTTCCAGGCAATGGGGAAGACTTCCTTCTTTCTAGGTAACATGCCTGCCCACCTGTCGGGCCACTTCAGGCCTGGAGGCTGGGTGGGCCACATCCCCTCTAGACCGCCCTGATGACACCGTCAGTCCCGCACGGCCTCTCTGCCTGGGGCCCCCGTGGGAAGGTTTCCTTTGACTTGCACAGTCAGTGCCTGGAAGGAGGAAGAGCCAGAAGGGTCAGAGCCAGTTCTGTCAGGGGCAGGTGAATGGGGCCTCCCCTGGGTGTAGAGGTGGGTCCAAGCAGGGGTGAGGGTGGGCAGAAAGTCCCTCCCCACAGGATTCTTGGGATGTGACCACGATTCTTTGCCCTGGGCAGGTGAGGTTGGCAACGCAGCTAAGATGATGCTGATCGTGAACATGGTCCAGGGGAGCTTCATGGCCACCATCGCTGAGGGGCTCACCCTGGCCCAAGTGACAGGCCAGTCCCAGCAGACACTCTTGGACATCCTCAATCAGGGACAGTTGGCCAGCATCTTCCTGGACCAGAAGTGCCAAAGTAAGTTGCCTTTGGCCTCTCTTTTGCGTTTTAGTTTTGGTTGAAGCTGGGAACTGGGTCAGGCAGATGTCACAGAACAGTGTCTTCTTCAGGGGCTCATTGTGTGTGAATGATGCACCCACTCCAGTCAGTCCAGGCCCCCAGTCAGAGAGCATCCGGAGACATGGTAGATAGGATTTGGGGCTACAGGCTGGGAACTTGTCTCTTGGGTGTCCAAGGGGGAGGAAATGCTAGGTATTGACCTCTGACAGGACTCCAGGTGGTTTCTTATTTAGGATCCTTTCAGATCTTCTGATGAATGACTTTCCCTCCTCAGATATCCTACAAGGAAACTTTAAGCCTGATTTCTACCTGAAATACATTCAGAAGGATCTCCGTCTAGCCATTGCGCTGGGTGATGCCGTCAACCATCCGACTCCTATGGCAGCTGCAGCCAATGAGGTAACAGCAGGAGGCCGCGGTGCTAGTCCCAGCAGCCCTCCTTTGTTTCCCTTGCACTCCTCCCTCTGCTTACTTTGGCTTGGCTTGGCTCTGTGTCTAACCTCTCAAGGTGGAATCTTAGGTTGCTGATTTTAGACCTTCCTTTTCTAAGTATATTTCCTCCGAGCCATGCTTACTTCCCTGGGAGTTCTTCTTTGACCTGTGGATTATTTGTCAAATACAAATAAAAACCCTGAAGGGTTTCCTAGATACCTAATGGTTATTGATTTCTAATGTATCTCTGTGATCTAAAAAAATATACTACATATGGATTTTAACTCTTTACATTGATTCAGACTTGTTTTGTGGCTTAGCAGATGATCTGTCTTGGTGGGTGTGCCATGTTCACTTAAGAAGACTGCGTGTTCTGCAGTTGGGTGCTGTGTTCTGCACATATCAATTAGGTTGAGATGGTTGGTAGTATTTTTTCAGATTATCTTTACTGACCTTTTTCTCTAGTTCTTTCAATTGCTAAGAAAGGGATGTTAAAATCTCAAGCTGTGATTGTGGGATCATGTTTCTCCCTTTAATTCTGTCCATTTTGCTTGATGTCTTTGTTATTGGGCTCTTAGCCATTTATGCTTGTTATGTCTTCCTGATGAATTTGCTCTTTCGTTATTAAGAAATGTCCACCTTGATCTTTGTCTTGAAGTCTGTTGTCTGATTTTCATATGGCTGCTGTAGCCTTCTCATGCTTACGATTTCCATGTGATGTATTTTTTTCCATCCATTTACTTTCAACCTTTGTTTTAAAATTGTGTCTGTTGTAGACAGTCTATAATTGGGGCTTGCATTTTTATCCATTCTGACACTGTCTGCCTATTAATTGGATTGTTTAGTCCTTAACATTTTTTTTGAATGACATCTATTAAGCACCTACATAGGCACTTTTTGGAAACAGTTTTTTAGAAGTTCAGTTTTCTTATCTCAATCTGATAGAAGTATAAGCTTAAAAAAAAAAACAGCTGAGCAATATTTGTCTTTACTATAGAATTACAATAAAAACAACATTTTGGGCTTCCCTGGTGGTGCAGTTGTTAAGAATCTGCCTGCCAATGCAGGGGACACAGGTTCGAGCCCTGGTCCGGGAAGATCCCACATGCCGCGGAGCCTCTAAGCCCGTGCGCCACAACTACTGAGCCTGTGCTCTAGAGCCTGCGAGCCACAACTACTGAAGCCCGCAAGCCTAGAGCCTGTGCTCTGCAACAAGAGAAGCCACCGCAATGAGAAGCCCGCGCACCGCAACGAAGAGTTGTCCCCGCTCGCCGCAGCCAGAGAAAAGCCCGCGCACAGCAACGAAGACCCAACGCAGCCAAAACATAAAATAATAAAATAAATTTTTAAAAATCTACATTTTGTGAAACACGTACATACATGAATCACACAGATTCATTTATTTTAGAGACTCTGTCTTCCAAGTGCTATAAACTATATGCATTTTTATTCAAGTTAAATAGAGGTTTCAAGTAGCTTGTTCTATAGAGACAAAGAAGAAGTAAAAATACACAGTACTGGGGAATTCCCTGGCTGTCCAGTGGTTAGGACTCCTTGCTTCCACTGCTGGAGGCCCAGGTTCCATCCCTGGTTGGGGAACTAAGATCCTGCAAGCCGCACAGCGCAGCCAAAAATAAATAAATAAATAAATAAATACACAGTACTGTTCTTTTCAGACCTGCCTTTTCATAGTTTATAATCTTCTGTCCTTGAATTCTGTGTCTCTGTCCTTCCTTCATGTGTCTGAACATCTCAGAGTACTTGTTTCACTCTTCCAGTTTGAAGTACAATTTCAGGTTCCTCCTTTCTTACCTTCAGGTTCTCTCTTGGTAGTGGAATTCCTCGTGTGTTATATAATTTTTCGTTGATGAGTTTGTAACTGTGGTTACTTCTGAAGGGTTCCATGGTGGCTTGTGTTGGGAGCACTTCTCTGTGAGGTGATTTCCACTTGCCTCTCCCTTGACTACAGGATTCGTTGGCTTGGAAACAGATATTTTGGTTAATTTCTTGATGGAGCACGGCACTTTCTGGCCACTGTTTGGAGTTCAGGATCTTGAGGTTAACTGGTCCATTAACATTTAGTCTTTGTCTTGAAGTCTGTTGATATGTGGTTGGATTTAGAGCTACTCTTTTATCATTTGATTGCCATTTGTCCACTCTGGCTTTTGTTTGTCTGTTCCTCCTTTCTTTTGGGATATCCCTTTTTTGGGATATTTGAATATATTTTAGAATTCCATTTTATTGGGACTCCCCTTGCGGTCCAGTGGTTAAGACTCCGCCCTCCCAATGCAGGAGGCCCGGGTTCAATCCCTGGTCAGGGAACTAGATCCCACATGCCACAGTGAAGATCCCGAGATCCTGTGTGCCACAACTAAGACCCAGCGCAGCCAAATAAATAAATATATATTTTTTTAATTCCATTTTATCTATTGGCTTTTTAACAGTGCATCATTTTTGTCTTTGCTCTAAGGATTGCTATACACATCCTTAATTTCACATCCTAGATTAGACCTCTTTACATAAAATGTAGATCCATTTACCTCTCCCTCCCTCATCTTCTAAGGCAGGGTTTCTCAACCTGGGCACTATTGACGTTTTGATGTGGGTGCTCTCCAGTGCACTGCAGGGTGTTTAGCAGCATTCCTGTCCTCTACCCACTAGATGCCGGTTGCACCCCCTCAGTTCATAGAAGGTGTCTCCAGACATTACCAAATGTCACTCCAGGTGGGGAGCAAAATGATCCCGGGTTGAGAACCCCTGCTTTAGAGTACAGATGTCCTATGTGTTACATTTGTCTTTGTTTTAAACCCACCATTGTCAGAATGTCTTGCTTTAAGTAGTCATATGTATTTTAAAGAAATTCAGAGAAAAAATAAGTTCATATTTCTCTAATTTACCATTTCCAGTACTTTCCTTTCCTTTCTGAAGAATTGAATTTCTCTCTGGTATTGTTTTCCTTTCAGCTGGAAGAACTTGCTTTAGCATTTCCTGAATGCAGGTTTGCTGGCAATGATTAGTTCTCATTTATCTCAAAAGGTCTTTATTTAGTCTTCATTCTGAGTTGACAGCTACACCTGAGCTGTAGTGGACATCATGTTTAGAAAAAGAAAAAAATGCAGGCAGCCAACTGTGTGGGAGGAACCTGTGTCCAGCTGCATTTTTTCAACATGACTGGATGTTGTGCTGCCCTTGTTAAATGATGGCTTTTTAATTTTTCTCACACTCTTTCATATTCGTCTAGTACCTTTAGGGTGGCTGTTAATTGCCAAGCACCATGCTAGGCTCTGGGGACACAGGGTGCAGCCCCTTCTTTTCCTTATGGAGCTTACATTTTAATGGAAGGAGGCACAAAATAAGCACATAAATGTTTAAACAAGTAAGAATTGCAGAAGGTTAGAATTATGAATAAAGTGGAACAGAGTAAAGGGATGGAGGTGGCTGGGTAAAGTGGTGCAGCTGCTGCTTCAAATGGGATGGTCAGGAAAGGCCTTGGAGCTGATTGGGAAGGAGCCAGCCAATGCTGAGGGAAGGACAGGGACAGTGGCCCAGAGAATAACATGGGAAGTCCTTGGAGCAGGAAGGAACATGATTATAACTACTAACAATGCTGAGCCCTGCCTCTGAGCCCTTTATATTCCTCACTCCATTAATCCTCACAATAACCCTGTTACCTTCTCCATAAAGTCAAGAAGCAGTGGTGGAGACACAGAGAAACTGAGGCACTTTGTCCAAGGTTAGGCCAGTCAGTGGGTGATCCAGGAGTCACGCCCAGACAGCCTAGACTCCAGAACCTACCTACCTAACCACATCGAGAACCGCCTCTCGGAAGCAGATCTGTGTCTGTAAGTCAGCTTTGTGGCCAGACTAAGCCCATGTCGTTTTTTTCCAGGTGTACAAAAGAGCCAAGGCACTGGACCAGTCTGACAATGACATGTCTGCCGTGTACCGAGCCTATATACACTAAGCCCTTGACCCCACCCCCACCCCCCCATCTTCCCTCTGACCCCCTCTTCCTCACATGGAGTTGGGGTCCTGGGACTTAACTCTGGACCAGTCCACCTGTCTCCATCTTCTTTTTTACAGACTTTGAGACTTGCCATCAGCACAGCACACAGCGTCGCTCCTCCCCTAGAGGTCCTGGAGAGGGGAGGGGTGTCAGCAGGATTGGCCTGTGGGAAAGCTCTTGAGCTGGGCACCGGCCTTGGACTAGGTGGCTGTGTGTTCACACACACAAACACACACACACACACACACACACACACACACACACACACACACACA